TATTAATATCTGCACTTTGTCAGGTCACCTTTCTTTGGAATGGGAATATAGATCTCTTCCAACGGAAAATGCCATGACTTTTGCCAGGTGCACCTTAATCTTGAAACTGACATCCTTGTTCTTTAGAGCTTCGGAGAGATCCTTAACAACAGATATTATCAATATATCAAGTCTTTTGATTCTTGACTGCTGCTACCATCAGTGTTGATTATAGATCTAAGTAAAGCATTATCAAGAATTTGAAGTTGTCTCCTACATACTGACATATAATAAATTTCTGCTTTTTACATTTCAACTCTTGTCTCCAAGACTGGTTTTTCCAATGGCATGTGGCAGACCTGTGGGTTTCCAATAACATAGTACAGGGTATTTGTTTGTTTGTTTGTTTTAGTTTTGGTTTTTTAAATTAATTTTAATTAAAGCTTACAGAGACTTAGGGTTTCCTGTCATTCATTGATGCACTTTTCTCCCTCCCCTACCCCAATTCACTCTTCTGAAAAGAAAAAGAAAAACTCTTTCATTGTTATGCAATTGCTCCCCTCAAGTCCACCCCTCTATGCAGCCTTCACTCTGGACTTCTGTAATGACAAGATATCCCTTTTAAACAGTTCTCTCCCTCATCTGTTTCAATGCAATATACATCATTCCTCCCCTCTTTTTCTGTCTTCCCTCAACCCTGATGTCAGTCCTGTTTTACAACAGTGGCTCTATGCAATATTTGTCCTTTTGTGACTGGGATATTTCACTCAGCATAATGTCCTCTAGGGTCATCCATTTTTCATAATATTTCATGAGTTCTTTGTTTTTCAATGCTGCATAGTATTCCATTGTGTGAGTATAGCTTCTCTATCCATTCGTTTGTTGATGGGCACTTGGGTTGTTTCCAGCTCTTTGCTATTGCAAACAAAGCTGCAGTAAACATGGGTGTGCATATATCTGCTTGGGTGAGTACAGGATTTTTTAAAAAAACGTTGTTTCCTACTGCTTTATTATGGTTTTAGTCCACCAGCTGTTCCGCATGAGAAAGATGGGCAATCTCCTCCTGTGATTTTTACTACCTCTGAAAACCCACTGGAGGATCAGCTATGGGTCAGCTCTGACTTGATGGCACATAATAAAAATTGCTTTACTGTCAGTTGTAGTATCAGTGTGTATTCAAATTTTCCCTATTGCCTCCTAAGTACATTTTCTCAATGGGTTTGTTTGAATTGGATTCCCTGGGTAGTGCAAATGGTTAATACCTACACCTTCTAATGGAAAAGGATCCACCCAGGAGTGCCTTAAAAGGAAGTCCTGGTAGTCTACTTCTGGAAGAAAAGTAGAGCAAACTACAAACAAGAAGCAATCGTTGGGAACTCTATAGAGTGCAGTTTTGCTCTGATACTAACGGGGCAACCATGAATCGGAATTAACTGTTGGATAAACTAACTGGTAGTTGTCGCATCAGATGCAAACATGATCCACACGTGGGTTGGCACTTGCCCTGTAGGATTTCCCGCAGTCTCTGCATTTTGCTGATCACATTTCCCTGTTGCTTAACATAGTCCTCAATGCCTTGTAATTCCTGTAAATGTCTAGATCCAGAGAAAAGATCAGATTCAAATGTGACTTATGTTGATAAGCTTCTTTCTACATACTTCTTACTGTTTTACTTCAGGAGGCTCATAATAGCTGTTTTCTCTCTGTGATTCTAATCCTTTCTAAATTTTACACAAAAAAGAACTGATAAACTTGCTTCCTCTCATTGCTACAAGTAAGTTTCAATAAGAACTTGAAAGTAAAGTTGACTGCATTTCCTTTTGGAGGATGCAGTAATAGACAAGAGTTTTGTCTATAGATTAAGGGAGACAAGTTACAATTTAGTTGTAATTGCACTTACAATTAAAAAATCCTCCTGTTGTTGTTGTTAGGTGCCATCGATACCACTCATAGTGACCCTATGAATAAAAGATCTGACACCTGTTCTATCCTGAGCCATCCTCACACTTCCTGACACACAAAGCCCACTGCAGCAGTCCACCAGGTTGAGGGTTTTCCTCCCCTTCCCCAAACCCTCCAATCTTCCCAGTATCATGTCCTTCTCTAAGGAATAGCCCCTCCTAGCAATATGCCCAAAGTATGTGAGGTGAAGTCTCATCATTCTTGCTGTTGTTGTTAGGTGCCTTTAAAGTCATCTACCACTCATAGCAACTCTATGAACAAAGGATCTAAACCCTGCCCTATCCTGTGTCATTCTCATCATCTCTGACACACTCAAGCCCACTATTACAGTCACTGTATCAACCCATTTGATTGAGGGTCTTTCCCTCCTTTACTGAACCTCCACCTCCCAGCATGATGTCCTTTTTCAAGGCCTGGCCCCTCCCAACAACATGTACAAAATATGTGAGGGGAAGTTTTCACTTCCATGCCTCTAAGGACCACCCTGGTTCCATTTCCTTTCTGGACCAGTTTAACGTTACTCATTATGACTTAATCCTTATCTTGGTGCCAATATCCATATTCCTCTAAATCAGAGAATAAGTTAAAGGGCTTCAACTACAACACTACACACTGAGAGTTCTCCCTGTCTGGCCTAGTGGTAAGAAGCTGCATTGCAATCCTAAAAGCACATGGTTCAAATCCACCAGCTGCTCTATTGGAGAAAGATGAGTAATTTCCTGAAATCCACTGGAGGGACAGCTATGGGTCATTTCTGACTCAATGGCACATAATAACAATTGCTTTATTGTCAGTTGTAATATCAGTGTGTATTCAAATTTTCCTGATTGTCTCATAAATACATTTCCACAAGTAGTTTGTTTGAAGTGGAATCCCTGGGTAGTGCAAATGGTTAATACCTACACCTGCTAATGAAAAAGGATCCACCCAGGAGTGCCTTAAAAAGAAATCCTGGCATTCTACTTCTGGAAGAAAAGTAGAGCAAAACGCAAACAAGAAGCAATCTTTGGAAACTCTATAGAGCGCAGTTCTGCTCTGATACTAACGGGGCAACCATGAATCAGAATTAACTATTGGATAAACTAACTGGTAGTTGTCACATCAGATGCAAACATGATCCACACGTGGGTTGGCACTTGCCCTGTAGGATTTCCCGCAGTCTCTGCATTTTGCTGATCACATTTCCCTACTGCTTAATATAGTCTTCCATGCCTCGTAGTTCCTGTAAATTTCTAGATCTTGAGAAAAGATCAGATTCAAACATGATTTGTGTTGGCAAGCTTCTTTCTATGCACTTCTTACTGATTTACTTCCGGAGGCTCATAATAGCTGTTTTCTCTCTGTGATTCTAATCCTTTATAAATTTTACACAAAAAAACTGATAAACTTGCTAAATCCCATTTCTACAGGTAAGCTTCAATTAAGAACTTGAAAGTAAAATTGGGTGCATTTTCTTCTGGAGGATGTAGAAACTAACAAGAGCCTTGACTGCAGTTTAATGAAGACAACTAAGTTACAACCTAAAACCCCTCCTGTTGTTGTTAGGTACCCTTAAAGTTACCTACCACTCATAGCAACCCTAGAACAAGGTATCTGAACCCTGCTCTACCCTGTGTCATTCTCATCACCTGTGACACATTCTAGCCCACCATTGCAGTCACTGTGTCAACCCATTTCATTGAGGGTCTTCCCCTCTTTTACTAATCTTCTACCTCCCAGCATGATGTCTTTTTCCAAGGCCTGGCCCCTCCTGACAATGTGTACAAAGTATGTGAGGGGAAGTTTTCACATCCATGCCTCTAAGGAGCTCCCTGGTTCCATTTCCCTCCTGGACCAGTTTGATGTTACTCACTATGACTTAATCCTTATCTTGGTGCCAATATCCATATTCCTCTAAATTAGAGAATAAACTCAAAAAGGGCTTCAATTACAATGTGACACACCAAGAGTTCTCCCTGACTGGCCCAGTTGTAAGAAGCTGTGCTGCAATCCCAAAGGCACATAGTTCAAATCCACCAGCTACTCATGAGAGAATGGGCAATTTCCATCTGTGCCATTTACAGCCTCTGAAAACCTGCTAGAGGGTCAGCTATGGGTCACTTCCAACTCAGTGGTAAACAACGGCAGATCTTTGGGCTCTGCAGAGTAGACTTCGCATGTAAGCATAAGTAGGGGCTGAAAGTGCTGGAAGTCATCCCCTTCCTGCATTGCCTCATCTACAGTACCTCCAATCAGTTCCCAAGGTTGTGGACCAACCTGCTTTAAAGCTCCAGATGGTGGATGGGTTCTTGACCTTAATTTGTGTCATGATTCATTGAGTAGCTGGTGAAGTTGATGGACTCCAGTCTCAAAAAAAAAATGTTTTAAAATGTGTGAAATGAAACATACAGAAATGCAGTTATCAAAATATTAAAGTAACTAGATATAGGGCAACTCTGCTAATTTGCATCACTTGAAAATAGTGGTAAACATAAATGATATTTTGAGATTTCTACAACTCTAAGGTCATGTGAAAATCTCTTTACTGATGAAGCCATAAGTTCTTCTCATATAACTACAGTGTGCTGCTACAAGCATAAAGGGAAGACACACTAAACTTTCATTTAAAAGCTACTAAAAAAAGAATTATACATACAAAGACCTAAATCTAAATGCAAAATAATCCCCTGATGTTCTACACCACCACCACAACCTTATTTTAAGCCTGTCTTGTTTCTCACTTTAACTATTACCATAGTTTCTTATCTGACCTTATTCGTCCACTCAGTAAATAGGAAATGCTTCAATGTACCCCATAGCCTTTAGAGCCAGAGTTTGGTCCCTTAGCTGGCTCTCAAAATCCCTTAAGGCTGCCCCAATGAACAACTTTGAATCGTCCTAAACCATTAGACCTCTGGTGGTGAAGGGAGCAACGAAACCCCACTTTTCCTTTAAGGCTACTCAGGTTAATTCTTCATCATCGTCTTTGAATTTTAGTGTGATTCATTCCTTCATTCAGCTCAGGCCCTGTGCTGGGTGTTGAAGTTGCAGTGCTGAGTTGATGCTGTTCTGCCTTTCAGATCCCTTCTTCTGGGTCAGCCCTGGAGTGCTCGTCCTCATTGCTGTCCTGCCCATGCTCCTCCTGCAGATCACTGTGGGCCTGGTCTTCCTCTGCTTGCAGCACAGACTCAGAGGTATGAGACAGAGGGAGTGAGTATATGGGGTCCTCTCTGAAATGAACTTGCTTCCAGAGCTCTGTCAGTTCATATTCACTTTTGTTTGATTCAGAAGTTCATGACATCATAAAACTTTATTGCGTGGACCCTCTATTTCTCTGAGATGGAGTTGATGTACAATAGGCCCATTTTATAAAGGAACCAACTGAGGCCCAGAGAAGTTCAGTGACTAACTCAATTGGACACAGCTTGGAAGGGGCAGAGCTCATGTCTAATTTCCATCTTCTGTAACATTTCTATCATACAACTTGGAGAGTTTGAGCTTCAGAGTTAGAAAAGTATATACTGTTGTTGTTGTTAGTTGCTACACATCCACTAAAACTCATAGCACGAACAACAGATCTGAACCTTGCCCTATCCTGCACCATACTCACAATCTCTTACATATTCGAGTCCATAATACGGTTTGAATAGTATCAACAATTCATTGGTGTCAACTAGGAACCAACTCATAGCTGACCCTCAAATGGGTTTTCGGAAGTAATAGGTTGCACAGAAGGAGAATGCCCACCCTTTCTCCCACAGAGTCACTAGTGGATTCAAACCATTAGAGAGGCACAACTCCTAGGAACTACTTCCTCTAAGAAAGAAAAGTTTTCCATTAAATTCTGAGGACTCAGGTTCATCCAAAAACTGCTTTCAGTCCAGAACTTCCTGTTCTGATTTTTCTTTTCTCAAACCAGCCCTTATCAACTGTTCTTCCCAATGTCAAAACTCACACATCCTTCAAACTTTCTCCCCTTCCCATTAGTAGAGGATCATGGTGTTTGGAAGCAGGAGTGGCATCCACTTCCTAAACAACATGCCTCTGGAAATTCTATGAACTTTGATAAATATTGATAGTTATGGAAAGGCTGCAGGCCTTTTGTTCATAGGGTCACTATGAGTAGTGCTCAACTCGGGGGCAATCAATAACAATAACAGCTAGGTGGGCATAATTGGGAAACACTGATGAGGCAATAAACTTTTTCCTCCTTGGAATTCATACCTAATGCTCAGTGGCCTATTTCTCTCATATAAAAAAGACCTTTCAGTACACGTTGTTGTTGCTGCTAGGTGTCCGCCACCATTCATAGCAATGTCTTATTACATGTCGCTACTGTTGTATACTGTCAAGTCTGAACCAACCCATAGCTGACTCTCCAGGGAGTTTTTAGAGGCTGTACATCATATTGGAGGGAGACTTCCCAGTCTTTTGCCTATGGAACTGCTAGTATATTCAAACTTCCTTTTTTTGGGTTGGCAAAACAATCTTCACCACTAAACCACCAGATACCTTTGAATTGTGATGTTAGAGAAGAGTACTGAATATCCCATGGACTGCTAAAAAGAATAAACAAATATATCTTAGAGAAAGTTTAACCAAGATGCTATTTGGAAGCAAGGATGCTGAAATTTCATTTCATATACTTTGGGTATGTTGTTAGAAGGGGTCAGTCCAAGGAAAAAGGCATCATGCTTGGAAAAGTGGATGGTCAACAAAACAGAAGGTCCTCAATGAGACAGATTGACACCTTAACAATGGGCTCAAGTTTATCAGAGATAATGATGTCACAGCATAGGGTTCAGGTCCATTGTTCATAGAGTCATTATAAGTCATAGTTGCCTTGAGCATAATTAACAACAACAGCAACAACCATAACAAAACACAAGAGCTCCTACAAAGCCAGGCAGAAAGAACCTGATGAAGTCAGGTAGCATGGGTTTAAATCTCAGTTCAGACATTGACCAATGATTCGAACACTAAGCAAAATTCTTACATTTTCCAAGCACCAGTTGCTTGCCAGTCAAGTGGAGAGATCATCCACCAACCTAAAGTGTAGTAATAGATGCTTTTGGATAGTGGTGTTGAAGAATATTGAATACATTGTGGACTGCTAGAAGAACAAGCCTAAAAAAAAAAGGCAACCAAAATTCTACTAAAATGTAAGACTTCATTTTACTTTGGACCATCATTGTTGTTGTTAGGATCCATCAATCTCTGTTCTGTCCTGTGCCATCCTCACACCTCCTGACACACAAGAGCCCATTATAGCAATGTTGGACCATCCTTGTTGTTGTTGTTAAGTGCCGTCGAGTCGTAGACGACTCATAGTGACCCTATGAAAGATAATCTCTGAAAAAGGATTTGTTAAGTTTCAGAAGAAATGAGGAAAACTCTCACTGAAATGAACTGACAATACCCACAACTATGGACTCAAACATACCAACAGTTACGAAAATGTTACAGGAACAGGCAATATATTTCTGTTATGCATAAAAAAACCCCTAAAACTTATTGCAGTCTAGTGGAAGGCCACCCACAGCTGACCATCCAGTGGGCTTTCAGAGACTGTAAAACTGCAGGGCAGATTTTCCTGTCTTTTTCCTTCTGAGTACTTGTTATGTGTCTGTTATTCATAAGATATTAATAAACCAGAGCCAACTCACAACAAACAATAAACTATAGGAAAGATTAAAAATTATAACATTGAAAGGGCCAATACAGAGTGCATCATGAAGTACTGGCTCACTAAATTCTTCTTCATTGAAATGAGAAAGTGCCTTCAGATTTACAAATTAACAACTTGGTAGGGTAGACTAGCTATGTAAACTAAACACGCTCCCCTAGAAAAGGAGCAAAGAGTTATTGTCATTGTTATGTGCCTTTGAGTAGGAACTAACTAGTGGATGACCCTTTAGAGGGTTTTCAGAGGCTGTAAATCACAAGGGAGAGTGCCTATCTTTAACCTGGAGCAGCTGCTGTATTGTAACTGCTGTTTACCATATTCTATCCTCACAGTAGTCAGGTAGGGAAGGTCTGGTGACCTAGTCCCTAGGGAGTTACATTGCTAACCCAACAGTAATGTCTCTTTGGTGGTTCCAATCAATCAGTTGCTCTGAGGAAGAAAGGTGGTTAAACTTCTCCTATGAGTTGGTTCCTCCTCAATGGCAATGAGTCTTTGAATAAGCAGCCAGGGATCGACCTGAACTACAAATTAAACATTTAAATCCATGGTGCTTTTTCTACTGTTCTATGGATGCTCCCAGACTGCAGAATTGCCTTACACAAAGGCTCGGGGTGCTGAGTGTGGGTCCTACCTAGTACCAGAGTACAAACTAACAATGTTGTCTTTTCTATTTTAGGAAAACTCCGAGCAGAAATAGGTGAGTCCTGGACACCACTATCCCTCCCTCCCTCCTGTTCCTCTAACCTAATTGAAACAGTCATTTTCTCTGGCTATCTGCCCTCCTTCCCAGCACTCAGTGCTCCCTGCAGATGGGAAATTCACTAATAATGACTCTGGAGAAAGGGTAACTCTCCTCTCCCCACCCTGAATTGATTGTCCTACTAAATGCATTTCCATTTTTCTTTTCAGTGAATCTCCACCGGACTTTTGGTAAGTGCTGGGGTAACCTGGTCATCTCTGACCCCTTTGATGTTTCCCTCAGACTGAGTGGTAAAAATGGTTAAGCATTAACTGCTGGATGGAAATAGCTCTCTCTAGTGACTTAATGGCTAAAGAGCTGTAGTGCCAACCAAAAAGGCAAGAGGTTCGAATCCACCAGCTGTTCCATGGAAGAAAGATATGCAGTCTCCTCTCTTGTGATTTATAGCCTCTGTAAAACCCACTGGAAGGTCAGCTTCATATTGGTTTCACCTCAACGGCACATAACAACTGGGTGGAAATTGAGACTCACCTGGAACCACCTCCGAAGACAGGCCTTCTACTGTGCACACATAGGGTTACCTTGTCAACCTGACATCGGGCACGGGGCAGGGAGATGAAGATGCCAGACTCCAAGCTGGTCTGCTCTTCCCCTTTCTCCCTTTGTAAATTATCATTAGCTTCTAGGATTGGTAAAATAATTACAAAAAATAATACGAGTTGGGAGCTCTGTGACCTAGTTTACGAGGAGCTGCACTGCTAGCCCAAAGGCAGAGCAGCTCTGATGGTTTGAATCCAGCAATGGCTCTGCCAGAGAAATACGGGCAATCACCCATGCCATTTATGGCCCAGAAACCCAGAGGGTCAACTGTCAGTTGGTTCTGACTCAATGACACAGAATTTGAATTTGTTGGGTTTTTGTTTTAGATGGCGCATGGTCTGGCAAGGTTTTATTTGGAGTCCACTCCAGGGTACCTCACAACAGTAATATGAGAAGTGTTGGTCATGTAGTGCATTCCTGGAGAGGGTGAAACCAGGTTTCTCCTTGGAAGGGATGTGTGTGTGTGTGTGTGTGTGTGTGTGTGTGTGTGTGTGTGTGTGTTTTCATAGTTTCATTCCCTCTCCAGAGCTGGATGAAGATGGAACTCTTTTATTCTGGATTCTATTTCATGTGCATTAAACAGTGCCTGTCACAGGATAAAAGTTCAAAAACAGTGTGCTTAATAAATATATTACCTTTTTGCCACCAAACTTTCTAGCTTTCAGGCAAAGTTGTCTTTAAAACTAATACAAATAATCCAAGTGCAAGCATATTTCAGGTTCTCAGAAAGATCCTTAATTATTTCCTTTCCTTAAGAAATTGCGAGACTTTACCAAGGAAAGAAAGGATTTTAAAACTCCATCTCACATACTTTGGTCATGTTGCCAGAAGAGACCAGTCCTTGGAGAAGGACATCATGCTTGGAAGGGTGGAGAGTCAGCACAAGAGAGGAAGACCTGGGTAAAATAGACATAGTGACTGGGGCAGTGGGGCATGTGTGTTGGAGACAGTGAGGTTGGCTCAGGATATGGCAAGTTTCAGAGCTATTGTTCATAGGGTCGCTATGAGTTAGACAACAGTGTAATTTTGTTGTTTTGTGCTGTCAAGTGGCCTGCAACTCACAGTGACCCTATGTACAACAGCATTAAACCCTGCTCTATCCTGTGCCAATCTTACTGTCTCTTGACACACGTACCCCCATTACCCCAGTCACTGAATCAATCCATCTCATTGAGGGTCTTCTCCTGCGCTGTCCCTCCACCCTCCCAAGCATGACGTCCCTCTCCAAGGACTGATCCCACCTTGCAACATGTCCAGAATATGTCAGATGAAGCTTCAGAATCCTTGCCTCCAAGGAACAACTTGGCTTTACCCTCTCCGGGATGAACTTGTTTTCCTAGCAGTCCATGGTATATTTGATATTATTCTCCAGCAAATTGGGCTACTACTCAAAAGGCTGGCAGTTTAAAACCAGTCTAGGTGCTCTGAGAAAGATGGCCAGTTTAAGCTTCGGAAACCTAATGGAAGGTCACTGTGAGTAGGAACCAACTAGGTGGCAGTGGGCTATCTTCTAGAACTCTCACGTGCCAGGGCTATTCTAACAGCTCGCTCTCTATTAACTACTTTGTAGGAATCACAAGCACTTTGTGCACCTTAACTTCTCTTTTCAGTGATTACAGAGAAATAAACATCCTTTGCATTTGATGTCTGATTGAAGAAGGGACATAATTACATGAAATGGCACACACACACACACACACACACACACACACACTCATACATACTCATCCACTGTACACATGGTGCAATGAGGTTTTTAATTGAATTTAAATGAGTCCATAGAATAGACTAACAGAAATGGAATAAGGGAACTATGCCAATCAAGGAAGGTTTCTTGTGAAAGAATGAAATTATTAAACCCTACTAAAATTGATTACAGAAGGATGGGCAATTTCCTTCCATATGAAAACCCACTGGAGAGTCATCTATGGTTTGGTTCCAACTCGAAGGTACACAGTAACAACAAAATTGATTAAGTACCATAAGGGCCACTAACCAAAAAGCTGGTAATTCCAACCTACCCAACCCATGGACAGAAAAGGAGCCTATTGTTCTGCTTCCATAAAGATTATAGCCTAGAAAAATCTATGGGGCAGTTCTACTTCATCACATGGGGTCAGAATCTACTCATCACCACCCAACAATGCAAATTACTCTCAACAACTTTCCTAAGGCATAGGCAACTCTACCCATTCTGTTTCTCAAACATCTCAAAGTATATGACCTTGAACCAGTGTGTAAGCCTGCCTGCCCACACACACACACACACACACACACACAAAGTTGATAGGCACCACTGAGTCCACTCACAGCAACTCCATATACAATGAAACCCTGACTAATCCCAAGTCATGTTTACAATCTCTCTTGTGTTCACGCCGTTTCAGTCCCTGGGTCAATCCATCTCCTTGAGGCTTTTCCTCTCTTTTATTAACCGTTTCCTTTTCCAAGCCTGATGTCTTTTTCAGGAACTGGCTCCCTCTAAGTTTTGTTATTGTTAATATGCCTTCTAAAGCATGTGCAACAAAATCTCACCAGCCTGGCTTCTATGGAGTATCCTGGCTTCATTTCTTCCGAGACATATTTGTTCTTTCGCCAGTCCATTCAATATTCTTTGTCAATACCACAATACAAAGGCTTCCATTCTTCTGTGGTCTTTTTCATTAATTGTCCAACTTTCACACACATATGGAACAACTGAAAATATCATGGCTTAAGTCAGGTACATTTTAGTCCTTAAAATACATTTTTAGTACTTTAATGAATATATAACACATAGCATTATGAGGAAAGTCATTTAATTGAATAAAGCCATCAAAAGACAATACAAATTTATATTAACATTATATATATTATATATAAGAGTATATATTTGTTGATGAGAAAAGATCAAGAATTGCTGATACTATGGTTTGTTGCCTACATTAATAATGAAAAGAGAATTCTAGATTTAGTTAGAATTAGTGAAAACATGGTGGTGCTTTTCTTACTAAGGTTCCTGGACTCCCTGGATATTATCTATAGATTTGTTTGAAGTTCTTGGACTCCAAGTTAAAAACCCTAATAAGTGGAGAAGGGTGGGTGAGGGGGTCATGAGGAGCATTAATCCTGTTCATTTTGCCACACATGCTTCAGATCCACACTTCCTGAGAGTACCCCCCTGGAAGATCACCCTGTTTGTAATTGTGCCGGTTCTTGGACCCCTGGTTGCCTTGATCATCTGCTACAACTGGCTACATCGAAGACTAGCAGGTGGAGTGGTGGGACAGTAGACAGAACCAAATCATCCCTGAATGAGAAACAGGAACCAGGACTCAAGATTTGGGATGTTGGGTTTCCTTCTTCCTCTTCACACACCCAACCCAAGGCTCCTCAGAAATATCATTAAGAGAACTACTTTCTGAGATCTGTGGGGTCCCTCAGTAGAGAAGGAAGGGTGGGTCAGTGTGGATCTCCACAGAGGCAGTGTGGGGAGGGAGCTGGTCGTCTTCTATCAGTCACATATTGTTTCTCTGTTTTCAGGGCAATTCCTTGAAGAGCTGAGTAAGTTGTCTTCTTCTAATATGATAAAAAGCCAGAAAAGGGAGACAAGGAGGGTTATCAAAGGGTCCAAAATGGAAAGGAAGTCCTAGTAAACATGGATATCAAGGGAAGATCTCTCCTTTGAGGTAGAACCAGTTGCCAGAGGCTAGAGTAGAAGGAACTGGGAAGGAAACTGGGCATCCCCACCTTCAACACAAATCCCATTCGCCATTAGCTGCATCCTTTCCCATTGTCAGTCACAACACCTGCCCTGAGCCTCCTCTCCTGACCAAGCCACATAGACAAGATGATTCTAGAGGTATTTCCTCTTCCCTAGTTGAATATATTTATGATTGAAACCTACTGACACAGTTTAGCTATATATATATATATTTTCCTATCAAGATAAAATATATCCTCTTTTGTTAAAAAAAAAAAAGGCAGAGTTGTGAGATTTGTCATCTGTTATTTTCTCTTCTCTAGGAAACCCCTTCTGACTGATGTCATAGCAGAGGCGGCAGGAGACTGATTGTTCCAGGAATTGGTCCTCGGGTGTCTTATCCAGCAAGTTGCACCCTCACAGGCTTCTTTGCTTTCAGACATTCCAATCTACCTTTCCAGAAATACTTTGAATTCCAAATTGGGTTGATTTCCCTTCTTCTATCATCTGCCTTGTAATTTCCCAACCCCTCCTTCTTCATTTTTGCTGCCCATATCCTTCCGTGCCTATCTCCAGTCCACCTAGCCTTCTGGCCAGGCCACGTGGGGATTCCTCTGGAAAACACCTATGCTGGAGAGTAACAGGTGGAAGAGCTTCAGCAAAGAACTGGGGAGAAGGAACTTTGTTGTCAATTCTCGAATGCCAACTTTGCAAGTGGTGATTGTTTCCTCAAAGACTCCAGCCCTGACTAGGCAAAGCAGAGAAGTATAGAGAGTCAAAGGGAAAGAACAGGAAGAGTCCACAATAGTAAGAGAGAAGTGAGTGAGCTGCAGAGTGAGGACATGGGAGCAACTCGTGTGACACTGGCCAGAACACCATGTTGTTTGAGCACACCACAAAGGACCTGGAGGCACAAGAAAAGAGAACCTCTTCCTGTGCCAGTCGGATCCAGTTCAACAGTACACAACAAGAGAGAGCCCAGTGACACACGCTTTTGAATGTTTCCCTACTTGCACATCTTCCACAAGTTCTTCAGACTCTTCCTCTCCTTTCATCCTTTTTCTCTCATCTTCATACCTGTTAGAGAATCTACTGGTTTATGCAACAATTACTAGTTGATGGTCTATCAAACACAAAGAAACAGGCCCGGTGCTAATTAATAATAATATGAATTCAAATCCCTGTACCACTTTCTCTTCTGTATTTCCTTCATTACCTTTTTCTCCACTACAGCCTCCTTACCCTCAAAGGCAGGCCTCAGGAAAACCAAACACAAAGACGGAACCTCGGTCAGAAAACCATGTTGTTATGTCCCAAGACGCTTCCTTGTGCTGCCTCTTTTGCATGCCTTTCCCCTGATTTCCCATCTCCTGGGAGAAGGGATCCTAGCCGAGGACCTAATTCCTGTTTCCCCTCCTTCCCTACTATAGGTGAGGCCACAGGAAAGAAACCAAGCCACTGACCAAGGACCACCCAGCAGTTATGGGGGTTATCCAAGTGTTGCCCCTTGCCTTTGCTCCTCCAGTGGACAACAAGGTCCTCCTTTTCCCCAAAGCAGAGGTCACAGATAGGGCAATGGTAGATCTTCTGCGTCCAGTGGGTCTTCTGGTGCTCGATTAGCCCAGAGAATAAGCTGAAGGATTTGCTGCAATGAAAGCAGCTGTGTTGCTTCTCTGTGAGGTGGACCTTCTGGTGGTGGAGGAGATAGGCTTTCTTACTACAAGTGAAGGGACAATGGGAACAAGAGAAGGCCTTGCTTTTTGTGGGCCTTCCTGGGCGAGGACTGGACCTGATACCCAAGCATGGGATTCTAGGAGTGAGAGCTTGGATTCTGGGCACAGAGCCATGGGTTGCAGTGAATGGTGCCTGAGTTCTCACAAGGATTACCTGGTTTTTGTCAACAGATTCCTGGTTCTTAACAAAAGATGGCTTGGTCTGGTTCATACGGTTTTCAGTTCTAAATAGAGATTCTTGGCTGCTGGCCACCAGTGCCTGCTTCCTAATGATGGGTTCCTGGATCCCAGAGATGGGTGCATGGCTCCCATCCATAGGCTCCTGGGTGGACACCTGGAGTTTAGATGTGGCATTTGGAATCTTCACAACATCCTCCTGCTTCCCTCCTGACTCTTGGCCTTGGTGTGTCTTCTGGTGACGTTTGAGCTCTGACTGGTCCCGGAATCTCTTCCCACAGTTGGAGCATGGATGAGGGCGATGATCCAGATGGACCCGGTAGTGGCGATTCAGCCCAGATGGGTCACAGTAAGTCTTGCCACAGAGGGAACAATGGAAGGGCTTTTCCCTGAGATGCACATGCTGGTGGTATCTTAGGGTTCTGAGGTTCCTAAATGTCTTCCCACACTGACTGCAGTTGTGAATCCACTTGGGATTGTCAACAAACTGGTGTCTATGGAGGTGGGAGTGTCTTTTGAAACATTTACCACAGGTGTGACAGTGAAAAGATAACACACCCCAGGATGCTGAGAACACTGGGATCTTGGCCGTGGACCTGGCTGGAGGAGAGGGTGGGCTGTGGCCCATCTGTCTCCCAGCAGGGGAGACCTTCTCATCATCAGTCCTATCTCTTGGGCTCTCAGTCTGTTCTTGAAGTTCCTCATACTCCTTCTTGTCTCCTATAGAGATGAAAAAGAATAACACAGGATTTACCAGGAGAACCCCAACTCCACTGTGTCCAAAGTGTTCCCTTTTTTGATGCCCTCCTAATTTAGCTAAAACATTCTCCCTTCCCCTTGGAACTCATAGGTTAAAGACAAGAATACACTTTTGGTTTTTTAATGAAAATAAAATAAAAATTTTACTGGAATCTTTCAACAACATCATAAGAGATCAAAATCTTAAACAATAACTACATTTCGTGAAACTCATCAACTCTCATTATTACCCACAGTCTACAAACTCCAGAAATTACCCACTACATATCATATCATTTCATATCATATCATAAGCATATCATCTAAATTGGAACCCTGGGTAATGAAAGGAATTATCAATATTATATAAGTTGGGGTGAGGTGGATAAATCAAGATAGCCCTAGAAAATCAAGAAGTGTGGTTGGCCTGGCCTGATACCTCTGCATGGGGACCAATCTTCCTACTCTAGCCTCAATTCGGACTCACTGCCTTGAGTGGATTCTAACCCCTTAGAACCCTCCATCAGTTTTCCAAGGTGTTAAATCCCAACAGAAGACAGCCCCCACCTTTCTTCAAATATGGATTCAAAACTGGGTTAACAAGGAAGCTCACTACACACTACACCACCAGAGCACCCTTCCCTAATGCAGCACCACGTTTATCTTCCTTGCTATTTAGAATTTTTTTAATCACAAAATTATTAATCTGCAACTGACGTTAGACTCCTAAATCCTAGAAACTGAAGATATTCTGTTATTCTGAATGGGTGAAGCAACTGACATTAGACTCCTAAATCCTAGAAATTGAAGATATTCTGTTATCCTGAATGGGTTAAAAGGTCATCTCTTTGAATCCAAAGGACTAGAGTTTTTAGATTGATAATGATCTTTTGGGAGCCAAATGTATAAGTGATCTCAGGCCTCTGCAAACTCCAACCCTGACCAGGCTAGAAAAGTACAGACTAGGGGAGAATACATTGTTGTACATGTACATAGGGTTTTCAGAGGCCTGCTATTTCAGAAGTGGATGGCCAATCCTTCCTAGTCTGTCTTAATGTGAATGTTCAGATTTAGAGAAGTATCAGACAGACCAGCAAGTTAAAGGTATATCCCTTATTGTGGAGTTAAAAATTAGTATTAGTGTTGTCCCTACCTTTGGCACATGTGTCTTTACCCACTTATTTCCCTGCTCCACCATCCACCAGGATACCCATCCACTTCTACCCACTCCCTTCACATCTATCTCCCATTGACCAGCCCTTGATCTAGTAGCTTATATATGAAGCTTCCTCGGGTTCTGTGATTCCAAACACATCAACTTCTCATAGTTCCTTTCTTGGGACCAATGTCTCTGAAGTTCAGTCATAATGTTTCCTGAGCAAAGGTGATGCATCCTGTAGAACTGGTGTGTAGATAGGCTTTTTCTTGGCCCGAGGGCCAAAGATTCTTACCACTGGACCAATTGGCAACATCAGGATGGATGGTGAAGAGATTGAGATTGTACAC